AATAGCACTAGTGATACATAGATACATGCAACAAGTTTAGATTGGAAAGCCCGTAAAAATTTTAGGTCGCGAAATTATTTTGGGTCGCGACCGTTATACGCGATCTGGCGCTGCCATAGCGGTCGCTAAGAACAACGGCAAACAAAAACAGAAATAATTTTCTTTTCTTGTCAAAGTCAGAATCTTCAAAAATCATAATAATCTTTCAAAATCTAAACCGCTCTCATTAAGTTTTATTTACTCCAACCGGTGATAATTGTGAAAAAGTGGCACTAAAAACTTAAAAAGCTGTGCTGTGAACTCTGAACTGCAAAAACCATCGTGGATCGTGGTATAACGTTGGTTTCCAATGTTTCATAGGTATTTCATACATGCGTCCTTATATAAAATAAAGTTTCTTGTATGCAACACACTGTATTTTATTTATAAAATTAAACGAAAATAATAATAAATTTGAATAAACAATATTTGGCGATATAATTCCGGAAAACGTCGCGACCCCAAACAAAAGTTTAGGGTCGCGACCGTTGCAAGAATAGCGCCAAATAGTGTTTACATTGTCCTTATGGACACTTTCCAATCTAAACTTGTTTCATTTATCTATGTAGTGATATTATAAAAGCCATAATGACATTCAAATGACAATGTTAAATGTGTCATAATGACATTGTCGTAGATTAATTAATTAATTGAGTAATTTTAAATAATATTCTTGTTGAACAATTGAAACATCTAAAAACTATATTACTTGAATTATAATTTCAACGCAATTTGGACACTTAGAACCATTTTGTATGTTACTGATATCGGTTCTGTTACATTAGTTATTGGGGCGGAAATTTCTTGCCTTACTAAACAATTAAGAAACCAAATATTTTAACAGTTTTCGCTAATTACCGGCCGTACGGCATTATGTATCCTAAAAAAGGCCCGGTGTGACTTAAACCGCGTTTATGTATGCTGGGAGACAGATTTTCTGTGTGTACCGAGAAGGAAATTGAATTGCTCGGTATATAAAAATTATCGTCAGGACTGAGACCTACTTCCCTTCGACGTTCTACTTTCCTTCGGTATAATGGTCCATTAAAACGCTGTTTCTTTAGTTCTTTCCTTATTTCAGACAATTATGCACGCAGAAATGTCTTGCCAGTTGTCGTAAGATATCTGCAAATTTGTTTTAAACCGCTGGTTTATTTGATTTAAGTGGCGCATAAATCATTGCCGGCGTAACAAGAAGGGACTAAGAAAAAATGTATGTCTGTGTCTTTCTCTTCACTTGAGAAATTGTGTTTTCATCTATAAAGGTTTTTTAGAATCTAATTTGAATACACATCTAAATATTTAATAGTAGCTACACACACTGGCAGTTCTTTCTCAAGGCAAAGCAGTGCAGTCAAGTCATTGAGAATTTTGTTTAAATGCGGATGATCTGCACACGGACTGGAATTATAGGTCAGTCCATAGTCCATAGCAATTACCGACGATGGTGCTTTGGTGATAATTGATGTCAATAGTACGAGGGTAGTCTTTTATATTTTGCTTATGGAAACATAGTAGACGCTTGTCAACATATATCTTATATGAAAAATTAACTGTCATCTTTAGTTAATTTAACGCCAAAGTTTTATACCGGTTTTTCAGTCGAAAAATTAAATTAAGATTAAGATTATTTCAAAGACCGTTGCCTCAGCAAGAATGCTTTGCAGAGTTGGTTTCTGTTTTCGGCAATGAGGCACCACATCAATCGACAATTTATCGTTGGTATTGAGAATTTAAACGTGGACGGATTATTCTTAGCGACTATCCAATAAACGAGTTTACCAACAACGACAGCCATCCAGGAAAATGTCAATGCTGCAGGTATGCTGATCCAAGAAGATCGACATATCACATATCGTGAAATTGAAGCATCATTTCAAAAAACTCAATTCAAAAAATTTTATATGCAGAGTTATCTGTTGACAGAAGAACAGAATGTAATCAGAGTCAATTGGTGTCAAAAACTCTCTCAATACCGGTTTTAGGGAGAAAGCTCAAAAAAATTATACAGTATTGTCATTGGCGATGAATCCTGAATTTAATCTTATGAACGCTGGTTGTTCCCGAAAAGTTTTTCCAAAAAGATGGTGGCGACATTTGTCTCAAAAGCGGGTCATGTAGCAACAATTCCTCTGAAAGATTAAAAAACTGTTACTGCTGATTGGTACATATTTATTTGTTTGCCAGAAGTAATTGCCGAGTTTCGAAAACTCACCCTCAACGACAAATGATCCTTTACCAAAACAATGCAAGTTCCCACCCAGCTCGAAAAACAATTGAGTTTTTAAAGCAAGAAAACATCGAATTGTTGACACTATCTTACATACAGTCCCAACCACTAACACAATTACATTACGTCGTTACATAAAGTCGTAACCACTTTTTTTACTTTTCTATAAATCGCTCTCAAAGGTTCCAGTTGGTTCCTCAGAAGATGCAGTCAGCGCCTTCAAAAAAGCGATTTTAAAGCTACCAACATGCGAGTGGAATAACTGCTGTAAGAACTAAATAAAAACAATAGCGTATAAAAGTTATCTACTGTTTTTTTAGGTACCTCTATATGCAAAATATAAAAGGCAATCCTAATATACGTCATCAGCTGGAACTCCATGCTTCAAAGAATCTTTGAGATTTGTAATTAATTTGTAATTGTGTTTACCTTCTCAGGTAATTTATTTTCAAATGTCATCTCTTATAGCGTTTATCTTTGTCAGATGGCTGTGGATCTTGTGTATCCAGCATATTTTTAACCTTATCTCAGCATTCCTTACACTTTTTTTGTCAAAAGCAAGACTTATTTTCATATATTTGAATGAAATGTAAAATAATCGTGGTGCAAATAGGAAAACTAGAACATTTACTTACTACACGAGATGTTGAGAAATATCTGAAGGCTTGGACTGCGAAGTTTATACCTTGAGAAAAATCCGTATGTGGGAGGCCCCCTTTAAGTTAAAGTAATTTCAAGGTTAATTTTCCTTTTTTAATATCATCCTCTTTCTGGCACTCTCGATTTGGGATATCAATTTTCTTATGTTAATTAGCAAACACCCTATATATTTTTTGATACTTGCATTCTACATGGCATTCTAAACGAACGGAAGTTGTAGGCAAGCTATAAATGTATATTTTTATTACTTTTTTATCCAAATTTATTGTTATTTTGTAGAATTTTTAGCCGACCATACCAATAGGTATGGTAGGCTATTAAGATCGGCAAAAAAAAGTTTTTTTAATTTCACTCAAAATTAGTTATTTGGGTCATAAATTACCTAAATACAAACTATTTTCTCATGGTGTCTGTCTGTCCGTCTGTAACACGATAACTCAAAAACCGCTAAACCGATTTTAACCAAATTTGGCACAAAAATACTGTGGCACCCGAGAATCTGGCCATTAGTTTTTGGTGGGGGTGGGGGTTGGTAAGGGGGTATGGGAGGGGGTTAAAAACTTTAAAAAATCGTAACTCCAAAATTACAGTATCTAGCGAAACGCGGTTTTCAATTTAAGATAAGGAATAATATTTGCAACAAAATTTGTAATAACATCAAAATCAGTCAAAGTCGCAGTTTTTGAGATAAAAAAATTGGAAAAATTCTTTTACTTTGAAACTAAAAGAACTAACTACCAACTTTTTATTAACATATTTAGTATGGGCGGCTATACGTGCCTCCCGGCGCCAATTTTTTTTTATTATTTTGTAATCCATAAATAATTTACCAATTTGATCCTATTGGGTATTAGTATATGTCATATTTTCTTATTTATAATTATAATAAATGTATTGTTATTTTAATAAAAAATTATTCTAAAATGTTCAATGACTGATTAATAGTTTCTAAGTAAATATATTTTCATTGTTTTTGTGGTTATCCGTAATGAAATTATTTTTTTCTCAATTATCCGTGTATTTTAATGATGAAGAAAATATTTTTTTACGAAATATTGAAATTAAAAAATAAATAAGTTTGTAGTCAGTAACTTTCCAATAGTTCGATTATTATTCCAATGTTTTATTCTAATTAGTAAAAACATAAAAAATAAAATAAAAACAAAATTATTAAAATAAATTAATATTTAGAGAAGATGATTTTTTATTATAAAATGGGACATTTAAATGTCACTATTGTTTCTGAAGTGGGAGTACTTTTTATAGAGATGAAAAATATATAGGTAAAGAAATGACATTTGAGGGAAATGCGACAGGGTACCTATTCAAAATAAATTAATGAATTTCGACTATTTAAAATTAAAGAATCTCAAAATTTTAAATGCACTCCCTATATTTCTTTTCTATTTATATATATTTTTTAGTATGTCATATACCTATTTCTAATAGATTTTTTTTTGAACTTTCAATTTTTACATTTTTTAATTCATTTACTCTATAACATCATAGTTGCCTTGGCAAAGCAAAAATATTCTATTATATTAATAATTTATTATTTTTTTTTTATTAATTCGTTACCATTTATTATTATTAGTATTAATTTTTATTAATCATGAAGTCTTTTAAAGATTTTAATTAATAGTTTGTTTAATTTTAAGTGTTTTTTTTTGTGTGGGGGTATACTTTCTTATCACATTTGTATGATTAAGTTGTGTTATAATAGTTGTACAAATTTATATATGTACATACCTATATGGTTAAATGTTTAAATGTTTACGGTCTGCTGTAATTTTTGACACATAAAAAATATTTAAAAAACTTTTAAACTTGAAAGACTAGACGAGACTAAAGTAATTTATAATTTTTAGTAAAATATAAACATGCAATAATATTATACAGTAAGCCATTTAAAATAATAATTTGGAAAGTTAGAAGTTCATATTGTTTTAGTACCTTGTTTTTTTTAATAAATCAAAATAATTTTGACACACAGCGGTAATTTTAGATACAGGATGTCCACTGTATCTAAAATTACCGCTATGTATATTTACAATATCCGTTTTTCACTTACCATGCTTAACACATTTTTGAAAAACCACAATAATCACTTTCGACCGCCAAATACAAATATACAAAAAACTCGGTACGCAAAGTTGACTACGCACGAAAATTCCACGACAATATCAGTACCAATCAGTACTGCCGCGTACTGTGTGTAAGAAATATAAGAAAAAGCCGAAAACTAAATTGGGGTTTTGTTGCGTAAATCAAATAGTCCGCCTGAACGGTTTGGTACAACTATTTGAACACCTGGAAGTGGTACTAGCTTTTGAATCGACCACCACGAAAATGATCGCTGTTCAATCCTACGGTCTATTGGTTTCTAGAATGGGGTAGGCAGTTTAAAAGAGTTAAAAGGGTACCACAGAGAAGGGGACCGTTGAATGGTCGAACGGCAGACACGATTATCGAATCATTTTTTTTATTTCAGTTGAATTGTTTAATATTTAAAGCATGAGAACGGTCATTTGTTATTTATGAAAGCATATGCTGAAAACACCAGTCATAAATAAAATTTTAAATATGTTTTGCTACAGTTTGTTTATAAACGAATCATTTGAAAACTATACAGGGTGGCCCACATCAAGGTTCTGTCTATTTGAGATTTTAACTTTGTTAAATTAAATATAACACATGTAAACTAGTAGTGTCAATTTGGTACTACTGAGCTTAGAGTCAATCAACCAATCCGCATAATTCAGTTTATTAATATACAAGGTCCGACAATAGTGCGTCGGGCATCTGTAGCTCTTAGAATAAAAAAATGAGAATTTTGTTCAAGTGCAAATCTAAAATATATACTAGAATGTATATTAGGGAGAACGCCCACCAAAGTGACGTAGCTTATGACGTTGCACATACATGGCAATGATATGGCAATAGCGATACATGATTTTTCAGAAAGCGCACATATAAGTGATGTGGCATCTTTGTGGCAGTGGCGTAAGCATGTCGTCCTCAGAGGATGAATATTTATTAGCAGTTGTAAACCTAATTAATATGAACCAAAATTATTCAAAGCGTCGCTATTTGATACACCCTTTTTGCAAAAAGGGACAAAGGAACAGTGGATTTTGGATTTATCTAGTGTTTTTATGAAATATTTCAAGCATTTATAGAATGAAAAAGAAACCTTTAACTTTGGTGCACGCTCTCGCCTAGGTGGCTCAAAAAAGTGTGAGTGGATCGGGATGATTTTTTTTAAATGGAACACTCTGTATATTATTGCATTTTAGCTTCCTTTCAGATCACTTTACGTAATTCTAAAATATCGATAAATATATTTCGACAGTTTCAGAAATATTAATAAATAAATAAAAAATATATATTTTTCAGCCTTTTTAATAATATTATTAAAATACAAGAACTGTCCTGAAATCAAAACCATATTAGGTATTTACTTTAGATGGTCTTTACTTTGCTATAAATATGGTAATCGTAAATCATACAGGATGTTCAAAATTCTAAGCCAAACTTTCGAAAATATAAAATAGTTTTTCTTCGTATTTTTAAATGGAATAAAACCTTGTATATTTTTTCAATAAATGGAGGATTAAAAAATGAACAGTTTTTGTATTTAGAGTATTTCAAAATTTTTAACGGTTTTGCAGATATTCGCGGTTTTATATTTCATATGTCATTTTCCATAGTAAATTTTTATCAAAGCCAATCAATGATTTTTCTCTCGTATTTTACCGTTGAAAGAGCCATATGAAATAATACTGCGTGTAAAACCATTCAAAATTTTGAAATACTTTAAATACAAAAAATGTTCATTTTTTAACTCTCCATCTCATAAAAAATAATTCCATTAAAAAAAAAAAGAAAAATTATTTTATATTTTAGAAAGTTTGGCGTAGAATTTTGAACACCTTGTAAGATTTAAAATTACAATATTTATATATAGATATAAGTATAGACCATCTAAAGTAAATACCTAATACAGTGTTGATTTCATAGGATATATCATTTTATCTTAGGATTATGTAAAGCGATTTGAAAAGAAGCCAAAAATGCAATAATATACAGGGTGTTCCATTTAAAAAAACCATCCCGATCGACTCACTTTTTTGACCCACCCTATAGAGGTTAAAATATTTTCTTGATGTACAGAGTCCATTTGCGCTACACCGCTCGGGTCGGTCTCAGGGGTCGGGTAGAGCGGGTGTGCTGTGGAAGGCGGTCCGTTCACGATCCCCCACCGCCTGATTTTTGGTCGGACGCATTCAGTGTAAATCACATCTGAATATTTCCCATATTTATTTCAGTGGAGTAAAACGATATCAAAATGTGTCAAAAATTTTTTTTTTTGGAGGTATAACTACATGATATCTATACAGGATTATCAGTTAGGCCTTTGTGCATGTGAAATAACTAATTACGACCTTTTGGGGGTGTCAGAAATTTTTTAAGTAGCAAAATGTCAAAAATGTATAACCATGTTTTTTATCTTTCCTACGCGATAACTCCTAAACTAATCAACTTATTCACAAACTCTTTTTTTTAATCGATTGAGAACACATAGGCGGTGATAGCTGAGGTAATTAAAATTCCATAGTGAGTATTTTTTTTGGAAAATGGATTAAACTTCAAACATTAACTTTATTGTATCATGATTTTCGGTAAGCGAGAAACTTTTTTATTTGAAGGAATTTTACATAGTATCTGCGTATGAAATAAAGTAAAAATATTGAAAAAGTTTTTGAAACTTGGTACAATTTTCTAATGCTAATACTTTTCTTGTTATCCTAAATTAAGTTTACGAATAGGCCGCGCGCGAGACCACTCGGGCTTCGCCGCCCGAGACTTTGATTTTATATGGCGACACGGCGGACGCGATGTTCCATAGGCCTATTTCTGATTATTTGTATTGTACCTGCAGTTTGAAATTTAGTTAATTCAGTACGTTATAAATTATTTAGTTATCGACTCTTTAATTTGCAGAAAAACTATAAAGAAAAATGATAGGTTTTTTTAAATCCTATTATAACGAAACCTAAAAACTATCATAATCATAAATGCTGCGGAAAAAGGCAAAATGATGTATGCTTAATATATTAATTAATAATTGTATATATATTATATTAACAATTATTAATATATTATATTAACAAAAAGAAAACTAGTTAAATAGAACGGTTTTGATATTATAATATTTTTGATATGTGATAAAATAGGAAAAAAGGGCAAACATCACAAATTAACATCTAGACAAACAGGTATCTTATGTTGTAAATTCATTGATAATAAAATTGATATGATCGCTAAAATTCCATAGTCAGTATTTTTTTTGCCAATAGAGCTGAATAATTTATCAGAAAAAAAAAAAAAAAAAAAAAAAAATTCCATTACATAAATAATTCTATATAATTCTACAGAATGTCCCCGGATTTGTGGAAAAACAAGTGGAAAAACTTTTTTATTATTGACATTTTGAGAAAAATGTATTCTTCATAAAAAATTTTGCTTGTTCTAAAATGGTTAATCCCGTTTATACTTTTCCAAATTTCCATACCGTTTGTATATTGTTGAATTTTTTCAGTCTTAAAAATCAAGGGGCGTTTCTATGGTAATATAATTTCGATTATATTCTTTGATAGACGGTTATTATTAATTATTGTTTTATTATATGTAAATTTATATATGCATGGGAAATATTGTTGATCGTCATTTCCCAGTCAACTGGACGCCGTTTTTTTTTCGATCATACGGTATATTATGTATTTCAATAAAAGCGACAATACTTAGGCAACAATGTTTTCGATCTAGCGTGGTTTAATGACAAAAGGGGCTCCCTGTAATCCTTTTACCTGTTCAAATTAATTGATTAGTATAATGAGACAAGTCGCTGATTCCTACTATTTAGTGGTTTTCATATTTTATTGCAATGAAAATCGCAGTTTTACGTACACAAAACGCAGATTTAATTTAATTTTTTTTTAAAAACTCAGAGCAAAATTTAAAATGTCATATGTCAAATAGAAAAAAAATATTACAGTCGAAAGTGATAAAATATCCGATTTTTAAAGAAAAATCTCAATGCAATCGGTAATATTTGCCATGACTACCAACATAAAGCTTTTTTAATCTGCCAATTCGTTTATTTAATCAGGAAAGTGTGCTCAAAGGTTTCAAAAAAAAGAATTTTTATTCATTTCCGATAAAGACAATTAAAATAAAAATTCTCCAGCTTTGGCAACATTTGACTTTCAAAGAAATTTTTGTCTATTTTAATTTCTACACCGGGTGCGTCTCAAAAGTGGCTCACCCCTATAACTTTCTTATTTTTTCAGATAAAAAAACGAGATTTGGTATGTTAGTATATGACATAAATTAGGATTGATTGACGTATTCAATTGTTTTTGGTCACTTCTTGTTTCACCGGAAATGACTACAACTTTTGATTCTTAAATGGCACCCCCGGTATTTGTTTACTTTATTCGATAGAAAATGACATTCTGAATATAATGACATATCATATATCATATGTCAACTTTTGAAATTTTCGCTTAAAACGAAATTGAATTTTAAATTTCAATCAAGTAGCCTTGGAAAAATAGATTTGATCGTCTAATGTTTTTAGTGCCTTGTCCTGGCCAGTTAGAAAATGCTCAAATCGTATTTTTAATCATATCTCAATTTTTTCAAATAGAACGAGGGTGGCTAATTAGCATATTTGGGAAAAGCATTTTTTTACGAATAATTTGATACCTCACACTTGGTATTTCGAGTCAAATTATCATTATGAACCGCATGTTATAATTTCCTTTATAATTTCAAATAAACCATATGCGAAAATGTCAAAAGTTGACATATGATATGTCATTCTATTCAGAGTGTCATTTTCTATCGAATAAAGTAAAAAATACCGAAAAACTAAATATGCCATCAGTTTGCTTAAATAGAACAAGTAACATATAATTTACGCGAAACTGACGATATGACCACAGACAACAAATTGCAGAGCTTCACAATTCAGCATAAAAAATATTTATTAAAAAAATAAATTAAATATAACTGTAATCAGAAAACCTTAATTTATGTCTGTATTGTAACGGAATTTTAACTTATAATACTCTTTCCAATATAGACATGTCTTATAAACCTTATATTTTTAAATGACGTGTTGAACGATGTGGGGTACCGATTAATTTTGAACAAAAAATATTAAACCCTGAACTTAAATTAAAATTTATTTTTAAATTATAAGAAAGTATCGCTTATAATTAAATTAACTATTAAATTTATTTCAATCAATATTTTTTAAGTATAATAAATACAACTTTGTTTGACCATCAAAATCTCAAAAATGGTAGATAACAACCTATTCTCAGACCTATTGAATAGACATATAAAATTTAATCAAAATCGGTCAAGCCGTT